TAAACTTACCCGACACCAGTCACAATGTCTCGCGGTTTACTATATCAAATTCTTTGATGAAATCTACAAAAAGCGAGTACGGCGACTGGTGTCGTTCTATACCCTTCTCCTGCAACTGACGATCTGCAAACACCATATCTATAGTGCTGCTACCCGAACGGAATCCACATTGCTCTTCCACCACGTCCGGTTTCAAAACCTGACTGTGGAGGCGGTTGAGCAGTATTCGGGCAATCACCTTGTCCACACAACTCAGCAAGTTGATACCACGATAATTCGTGCAACTGCTTACTCTCTGCCCTTGTACAGTGCATCCTTGGCACAACCTAGTTGGTGGCATCCGCTTCCGAATTTGCATGCCACTGTGCCTCCATGGGGACAACCACAGGACGTAACGCCTACATCGCGACCATGGTTGGCTTACGCTGCACCACCCACAGCTCTATCCTCACACCCATAGCCAGTGCAATTCCGAAGGAATCATACCGGGAGGCATGTGGATGGGAGCCACGTTTCATCATTGGAGGTGGCCCACACTTCCTCAACATGCACAGCAGCAGCATTCCTGACTGTTTAGGTGGGGAATCATGCGTACCAGACATACACAAGGCGGTGGCTGGGCCGTAGCCAGCTCCACACTGGATGAAACGACTGTTTGAATCTAGCACTGCCCCGAGGACCAGGCACCCCGTCCCCTGCAGTAACGATCCATTCGCATATATATATATATATATATATATATATATATATATATATATATATATATATATATATATATATATATATATATATATATATATATATATATATATATATATATATATATAGCGAAGCTTATATTATTGAAGTAACTAATGAAATTTTCGTAGACCTCTGGTGAGCCGTAGTCCTACCACTGACGCTTAGTCCTCCATTATTCCGATACTTGAATTGAATTTTCATAATATTTTTAATTTCACTTCTTTTTCATTGTTACACCCCTTTTGCTTTTAGCCTTCACTAAGGCTAGTAAGAAAAGTGGATATCAATTGTCGCGTTTTCTTTTCCTCAGAGATTTTGTTCTGGCTTGCCTGTATTGTACATAATAATTGAACAACCCGGGTTAACCATTTTGTCCATTATCTGATCCGCGCTAATCATATTTCTGGCCATCCGGCTCGCCGTGAAAACTTTTCTTGAGCCCCGATCTACGTGACTGGTATGGTTAAGCTGAAGTCGGAGTTCTTTTTGTGTGTGTATGTGTTTTGCTTTCATCTGTCGGATAATATATGTTGGGGAAATTACTTGGTGACTCACCTTATGGTTGGCCTTACAGTGTTGTGAAGAAGAATGTGACGAGTGCATTGTTGTTGCATTTTGTAGACTCTAATCTCCAAGCCAACTCTCATGACACATTTTAATCTAAATACTGTGTACTCGGACGCCACAGGCGAACGGCCGGAAACGGTCTGCGGCCGACAGCACATGCGACCGTTTATCAGCCCCAAATCTCGGAACGGAATAAAATTGTTCATTCTCTCGCGCTACTTTGGTTACAGGTCTCCGCGACTAGCTATGGTAAACACGCCAATTCGCCTGACGTCGCCTTGATCACACCAATCGCGTGCCAATGAATTAGACATTCCTATCCTGTGACTCATGGAGTCTAGTTCTCAGAGTTCGTCCTAACTCCCTAACTGGTGGTTGTATTAACCTGTGGATAAACACTTGTAAACAACTTGTGTGCTACTTCTCACTGCTACGCCCAACCGTGCTTGTGTTCTTATCTAGGATAATACTTTCGGATGTGTAAACCGTAATCTACTGCTGTGTGATCTGTTCGGCTCTGGAATCCGGCATTCCATAGATCCTCACCTGAGTGATTATTTCGCACAACATATACGCTTTATCTGAATTGGCTGTCAAAGTTACTCACTACGCACTGCAAATTCTAGTGTTCAACATAAAGCCATGTTAGCTCCGTTCCTAGCTTCTGCCTGTATTGCTTCAGAGCCTGTCCCTGAAGAAGGGATTTCCCTCAGGTATGCCTATGTCATAATTTTAAGTGCAAACCATCTACCTCTGCAGCTAGGTTACTAACCCATCTGATCTATCTCGCACTGTTGTGCATGACTCTTCGCTGGATTCAATGGATTGCAGTGTTATTTCTCACTACAGGAAGGGGGATCGGTATCAGCAATCTTTCTCAGGATTCCTTCATCTTCACATTGACAGTAAGCACTGATATTAAGCAGCACATATGACACAATTGATAATAACACTACACCACGATTGACCTTGATCAATTCAGCTGAATGGAATATTCAAAAAGTCAACGGACTATCCATTTACCTTTCGCGTCTGGGACCCACATTCTGCTCCGGCTGTCTGATCCTTCTGTTTATCATCATTTGGGTTTGCTGCCGTGGAGGTACTGCTTACCCTTGATTTTACGGGTTAATTAAGCGGATGTCTTAAATGAAAAGCTTGCTCCGACAGAAAGAAAATTCAGAGCCAACTCTGTTGACGGTGTGGGAGCTGACAAGGCTCTCCCCTCGCACTTTCTACCTCCCAGTGAATGTGTAGTAGAAAAAAATCCGCACAGATGGACGGGCATTCATCCCATTTTTATGTGTTTCTGGTCACTCGCGGAGAAAAATAAATTATAAGGGTGTGACATGCCTAGATAAGTCGTTAAATATTATGGTGCATCACTTATGTCGCCGAAATTTACTTATAAGCCTTTACATTTTAGTAAAAAAGTATTTTCAGTCAGCGGGAATGACTTATACATTGCCGCTGAGTGACCGATTTTGTGCTCCTGGCGGTCTTAGTGAGACGCATTTGGAACGAGTTTCTTTAACTCAAAATAAAGTGTTGGCTTATTGCGTAGTTATGATTTTTAAAATCGATTCGCTTAGTGTGGACGACATTTGCAATCAGGAAAAACATTCAAGGTATATGTTAAGGTTGCATTGGGAAAATATTTTACGGATCACCAAAGCTATTTCCAGAGGTGTCTCACTGGGACGACGAACGGCTTAAAAACCGGTCACTCAGGATGCTCGAACGGTCAATTCAGCGGACATTTCCGTTCACTCGTGTTAGGCGGGAAATTATATCGAAAACACTCGTTGATGCCGGTAAGCCACTTCATAGCGCATTCTTAACGGTTGTATTCACATTCTTGATCAGAAGGAAATGCTAGCCATATACACCAATACAAGGCTTTCCGTCCTTTTTTGATTATCACTGATCTTATACGTCCTCCTCTGAGCCGTAACTGAGTTATTAAAGCATTAGCAGGTGGATTTAATATTCTGTTTCAGTCCATGATTTAGTAGGGCACTGTTTCTGAGAATATCTGCCTTTCATGTTCATCCCTAGTAAAAGGTATTTGCGCTGTGGCTGAATAATCACCCATCCCTGGAGTATGAAATATGAAGTCTCTGCACATCTTCAAGGCTCGGGTTGCCTCTACCAGTCGCCACCATCTCTGGCGCCAAAGCGATCTGAGACTATTTCTGAACGGCAGAGTTTACAATGCCCCAGTGAGAGCGGTTCTGCTCTGTGGCTGCGCAAAAGATGTTGCGAGGCTGTCTGTGTGAACACCGCCACCTTCGGAGAATTGCTGGTTACGATGGTAACATCACATTTGCAATGATTACGTCCGTAGAAGGATTTTCAGATTAGACAGACTACAGGCCACTTAGCAGCACAACTACACTGCGCAGACTTCAGTGGTTTGAACCAGTGCATCGCATGCCTACTCATCTTTTACCTCAGCGGGCCCTCATCGCGCGTGCAAAAATCAGCTGGAAGCGGTAGCAAGGTGACCAACGTATGACTTGGGTCAGAAGCATGAGCGATCTAACCTCAAATTTAACCCTGGGCGGACGCTCTCAACTCCCTGACTGGAGGTGCAAGGACCACGAACTCGCATGGCTGGAAACCATGTCGGATATGGCAAGAGGTGGGCGATGGAGGATATGTTGGGACTCTATTCCAACGAACAAGGATTTGTTCCAATCTTCAATTTTCCATCATATTTTTCAAACGTTGGGGTAATATGCCCATTGTGCTATTAACCATATGTTGCATTTATATATATATATATATATATATATATATATTTATATATATATATATATATACATATAATGTAGCCTATACTAACAACCTCTTGGTCCCTGTGGGCGGTCGTTTGTTAATTTGAGGTAAATGCGTCAATTGGATTTACGTACTGTGATTAGTTGGTACCTAACTTCCAGGTCAGAAAAATGCGTGTTGAGCCAGATTACCAAGTGGCAAGGCTGCTCAGCTGATCCTTGCTGATCCATCGGTGTGAAGCACTGTCACGTTGCATTTAATCAAAGGGTCTAGCTAAAAGGAACCTGGTAATGCAAGTTGGGATTTATTGCAAACGCATATCGCCATTCTGATGGTTGCTGGTGGCCTGGGTGAACAGAAGCAGCGAGGGACCAGTGTACACAAAGGAAGCCACATGACGCCCACGGTAGTTGCTAGCGAGTACGAAGGCGGAATGCCGAGTCTAGGCTTGGTTCAGTCTGACATGGACGTAGTTTAACATCGTGTTATCCAGGGCAGGTGAAGGATACATCGAGCACTGGGATTACACGGTTCGTGGGAAAGAATAATATCCAGTAGACAGCATAAGACGGACAACCAAGAAGTTCTAAGGAAAAATTGCCCTAATCGAATAGCGCTTCAAATTTATGTATGGTACAAACAATTGCATGATTCGTGTATAACAGATCCATGATCGCTGCGCAGGCCTGCTCTTACTTTTCAAACGACCACTAGGTTTGTTTGTCAGTTTCCATTAAGAATGTTAGGTCACTTTCTTAACAGTCTTAATTGGAATGTTGTCCCTTGTGTCCTTCAGGTGTACAACGAAATGATAACCTGCGTTCGAGTTACATGTGATCGATCCGTTGCCAGCTCGTAATCCGATCTTGTGACAACGTTGAAATCAGTAACGCAAAGAATCGGGGACTTACTTTGTCCAGCGATAGGTAAAGGATCGAGAGATTCGAAAAGGCTGATACATAGCCTACAAGTGCAAATAGGTTATAATGTTTACATGATGGGAAAGCTTGGGTGAAGTATGAAATGCCTTTATGTGGGTATACAACAAAACCCGCGATAATATTTACTATTTGCGGTATTACTATAATGCTTTAATTTTATGGAAAATTCATTTCAGCCGGTCAGACTACGTGTAGCTGTTCGCTGTCGGCCGGTAGAAGCAAAATGGGGTTTTACTACTGCTTATATTAGTTGGCGAAAATTAACACTCTAAAGAACACACAAAACTATGGTTGCTTGTCAGAGCACTTTATAACTTAACTCCGGTCGTTACGCTGTGAGACAAGTAGACTTACAACTATTAGTAAAATATAAATGTTATGAGAGGCCTTCAAATATTATGCAGATACACATATGAGAATATCTTCCGAACATGAAGCAGGGATTTACAAAGATGGCTGGGGTGACAATTACAACATCAAAAAAGGTCTTCAAAAAAGCGCGCAAGCTACATGAACTAACAAGATGTTTGTAGTAACCCATGCTTGTGTATCCCTGTCGGGATTTTAAGAGGATTATGACACTGTTCACTGTCTGTTATCCACTCATGCCAACAACCGATGGTCGGTGTATCGTCAAAGCATTTTATGGATAGTAAGAAGCTGGGACGTTAATGACATGCGCAGGAAGTTCCAAGACGGTGACGCTTGCAGGAAGAAAAGTTTCGTCTACATTGCAGTCGGCTGTACAGCCTGGCCCCCCAGATATGTGTTTTAGCGGTTTCAATATATGGTGACGTTTGGTTGGCTTCTATGTTCAGAGGCACCATTATGAGATCGTCCCTTAGAGCCGATAACGCCCACGGAGTATTTTAGCATTTTCGGCCTGAGTTGATAAGGAAGATTGCTCAAAGCTTTGACCTTCTCCTGTATTGTGGAGTATCGAACGCGGTGTGGTGGCGCTTCTTCCAGGGCTGTCAGCGTATTTCACGTGTGGCCTCTCGTAAGTGCCAAGAATTTGAGGAAAGATTGAGGTGTCGAATTCCTAAAACTCACTTCACAAGAAGTCGAAGTGTTGATTTACTTCCTTTGACGTCTTTTCAGTCTACCTTAAACAACCAAGGTGATCTTGCATGAGCACGCCGATATCATACTCATGAGAAGCGGGCTATAGGATTAGTGGCCTTAGACGGTAGTCGTGAGTACTCTGATGGCATATGTTCAGAAATTGCACTTAGCGCCGTTAAGCTGCCGCACGTTTGTGGTGGGCCATGTGTATGCTTTAAACAGCTTACTCTACAGGGTTGTGTGATCCTCTACTGTGATGACGGTACGCCATCTCTTTAGACCATTGTCGAATGGTAGAAATTTCGGAGAGATAATCGTTGCGAGGTCATTTAGGAAGACCAAGAACAGGCGAGACTCGAGTACGGAGTCTTGAGCTATGTCGCGCTGGAGGTCTATTGGGTCTGATAGGGTGCTGCGAACCCTTGCCTTCAGATATTGAACGAGAAGGTTATCTATTCAACCTAAAAGGGACAGCCGACGACATAATTCTGGATTTTATGAAGTAGAATGTCATAACAGGATTAGATAAAACGCTACGCTTGCATTCTTAAATGGTAGTCAATCTTACTTAACAGCACTTATTGGACCAGCTGGCAACTTAGGCTTTCCTTAGTTGGTACAGTATATGTCCGCAGGTCGAGTACCCTATGGCAAATGAGACCCTAGAATTATTTCTCTGGGCTGGCTTTTCAAACCCCACCAAGTGGCACTGTACAGCACCTAGCACTGGTTGGTGATTCTGAAAGTCCAATAGTCTATCTGAATCCTCGTAAAATGTACTTCTACTACAGACGTAACTTCACTAGTATTGTCAATCAGATCTAAAACCTTATCACTACATTCCACTTTTTCCCACTCTACAACTAGGAGGACTGACCTTACTGTATGTGGGGTCGGCTACGCGATATACCCAACCAATGTGGGCCAAGTTGTTGTCGCGTGATATGGTGTACCGACATACTGCTGATGCCTTTCTCTTCTAAAAATACACTACCATTGTCGATGAAGCGTTATGATGCCTCCGCAACTGGTATACATGCTACTCTGTTTAGTGATCACACCCACGCACACTTACACATGGCCTTACAGTGACGTACTGCAAGCACGAAAACGAAGAGAAGGTGATTGGCCACTAGGGGAGATGACCAGATATGAGGCACTCTGTTATTCAGTCAGCAGGCGAGACTCTTCCGAGCGTCAAGGTTAAAGCAGAGGCGATTGGAAGACAGACACCCATATAAGGACGCACTTTGGTATATATGTGTAGCCGTTTTTCAGATAAGAAAAGCAGTTTCGATCTTGAGTGGTGTACGGTCCGTTGGTCTCGAAATGGCAAGCAGATGGCATGGAAAGCAACAATATAACAAGAACTTTGCCTGCGTATGTCCGGCAGCAGCTTGGTTTCATATGTGTAATGCAAACATTGAAGTCCCAGGTTACTATCCACTAAGTTAGGGTTACCATTTCGCCCGGCATTGGAAACTCTCATTTCACTACCAACTCAAATGCGTCCAAGGGCATTCGAATAGAGTATGTAGGTTTACGGATACAAACTTTCAAGTAGCACATAGTACTGACTGGTTGACTGGGTGAAATGTGCTTCCCGCTAAGCCATTAAAATACAGCCACCATTTGTTCCACATGGTTGCTTGGGAAAACACCCGCAATCAAGATCGCGGCCATATCACCCGAACGCATTCGATTTCGGAATGGGCGGAGAAAACTGTGCCTCAGTCTATCTAACTGATACTAGGATTAATTGACAGGTGCTCGATGGGCAGCTACGACCAACAGTCGCTAGTGTCTATATTAGTTTGTGGTCACGTTTAAACCTGCTGTCAGAGCAAAAGTTCTATAGCCTCAAAAATCTAAACTAAAAATCTCTCTTTCTATCACCAATACGGTCAGTTTTCTCCCGCTACTTGTTACCAATGAACCAGGTACTAAGGCCATCTTCAGCATATGTAATCGGTGTGGGAATGCACGCAGTCGGAGAATACTGAGTACGTTTGTTTATGCGTACGTTGTAATCAGACGAGTCGAAATGTCTAGTACCGAAAATTATGTGGATGGTAAGGACTTGGAATGTTAAATCGGAGAGTGATCTAGTTCGATCGGTGACACTTGTGGGGCGAGTTGTAAACTTGGAGATTGTTATGCTTGCAATTTACCTTCATTTTAACATCTATAATGAGCAACGGTGAAAGCATTTTACAGAACAATTTGTCTAAATATGGACACGTTGGGCACATCAAACTAGAGGTCGACAGTGACTCTATGCTCCGTTACGTTCGATAATTTCAAATGCCTCGTATCGTCGATGTTACTGATAGGTAGTTCACACAGAAATGTGGACGTCCTACTGCAGATGCTGGGTGCGATGAGATTTTCTGCTCTGTCTCTTGGCACTGTGTAGTCGCAAAGGACAAGAAGGTATCAGACATTCAGCTGGATCTGTTCGTGGGTACATGTATATTATTATTTATTTATTCACAGTCTGTTAACAGACATTGTGCCATCAGAACCATGGCAGAAGAAAAAGGTGAAGAAGATGGGGACACTAATGCGATTAAAAAATATGGGAAACGAATTTTTTTTGGTTTTACACACGCCATTTTGTATTTTTTGTTTTGTTTTGTGAGTTTTTGTGTGTATCAAAGGGATGGTGAAATTGCGGAACAACATTGCCGCCACTGATGTCTGTTGCGGGCCATGACGTCCAATGTTTCCAACCACTGCAATTCAGCATCTCGTGGTTCCCAACCTGGAAGGCGGACTGGTCCGACTGCTGCCAAACTTGAGGTCGGGAACATGTACAGTTAAACCAAGGTCACACAACACTATTTTTCTGACGATATTACAGGATTCATAACTATCCCGCACCTGATTATAGTCTGGCACAAATTCCATGTTTATTGTTGTATATAGTAGGTCATAAGGTGTAGTAAGTGCATTCCTCCTGAAATGATAGTGTTATAGAGCGAAAAACTCACTCAGAATAATTTGTAGTTCTGTGGCATAGTTGATTTCGGATCTCACGTCTTAACCCATGTAACTTCCGCTCTCACCTGTTCTATCAGAAGTTACTGTGACGGAACTGCTGGGTACTGGAAGTGAATAAAGTATTGCAGGCTATTTTATCTTAAAAATGATTCAAGTATTCGGCACCTGGTGTCCGATTTGCTTCCGCAGAGTTTACGAGAAGACTACGTCGAGAATGCTAGGTCATGCGAGTTCTCTCCAGTATCTGATGTGTTTGGCTAAGGCATTACGATTTATCAATACGTTGCTACTGTCCCGATTTGATGGAAGTATCTTCGGAGTGCGGTGAAAACACTCGGCTCCACCTAATTTCCAATACTTTCGTGCATCCATGGCCATTGTGAAAGAGAAAAACCTGCACCTGCTAGATGTGCAATGGAACAAGTTAGTGCAACTCATAAATAGTGACGGAGCGTGCCACTCACGACCCATTAACAGTAAGAATGAGCAGTGGTCAAACACTTGGAGCTATACAAAACTTCGATACGACAGTCAGACATAAGTGGAAGATGACAGATATTTCACGCCACATGGCGGTCGTGAGTTTTCGCATACCATGGGACACACGCTGAAGGGCCGTAAGCAACGTAGTTCTCACTCCATTAGTGCTGATATCTCAGCTGTTGGAAGGCAGCTTGACCGGTAGTATTCCGACCGCCAAATGTTTGCGGGTTCGCGCACACGAAGTACTCATCTTCCAATTCAGTGTTATCATTTTGCAGTGCTTATAGTTGGGTGATCTCTTTAAAACTGATCTTTAATGTGGGACCAATGGCAAAACCGATCAACATGTCCCGAGCAAACCAAGGAGACCTAAGTGATCGCCTCAAGAGTTTCAGTGCACATAACACTAGTTTATGGACCCACATTGGCAACGCTTCAGTTTGTCGTAAGACTCTCGGCTTTCTGTTGCGTA